AAGGTGAGGAAAATGACGTAGGCATTGTTTTGAAAAATCCATACTTGTTCGAAAGTTTGGACAAATTGTTTAACGAATTGGCAGATACTTTACTCAAATTTGTTGGTGCTGGGAGTAGTCAAGCTAATGAAAGCTTAAACAATGCAATGTGTCACAAAAATCCAAAAAATTTATTATTAAGTACATCTGAGTCTACAGATTATCGTTGGGGTGCTACTGGTGCCGAAAAAAATTGTGGAGCTTCATACATTCAACGTACTTTAGACAAAGAAGGTATAAACCACAAACATTTGTTGAATAAATATGTAATGAAAAGAGAAAGAGATTTAGAGAAAAAAAGAACCGAACGTGTAACACCTGCTGCAAAAAGAAGGAGGTTGGAATTAAAAGCAAAAAAATCTCAGTTAAAATATCAAAAACCAAATGTTGGAGAGGCAACGTATAGTAGTGGTATGACACTATTAGAAAAACCAATTGATACTCAAGTTAATTGCGTGGAAATCGTCAATGAAACAGTCGAAGAATTTGATACAGATGATGTAATTATAGTATTTTTTGACCTGGAAACTGCTGGATTAAGATTCAAGCATGAAATATTACAAATATGTGTCAAGGCTGGACAACAAGTATTCAAATCATACATAACACCAACTCAACCAATCCACCCAGAAGCTTCAAAAACTAACGGCCTTACGAAAGTACATAAAAAACTATTCCGATATGGCGTTGAGGTTCCAACATTACCGAAAAGAATAGTTTTTGGAAAATTGTTAGAATTTTTGAAAAGTTTAAAAAAGAAAAGTTTGTTTGTCGCACACAATTGTCCGTTCGATTCTAGTCGATTAATTTTATGTTTACAGAGTTTATCTCTTCTTGAGTCATACGAGGAAGTCATCGACGGATTTTCGGATTCATTGTTTTTATTTAAACAAAAATATCCTAAAAGAGAGAGTGGATATAAGCTGACAACACTAGGTACTGAGCTGCTCTCTCTCCCCACAGAAGGAGCTCACGATGCCTGCTTCGATGTTAATTTGCTGGAAAAATTGACTAGAGCTTTTCTACCTATCAATGATATTATAAATATTAAAAAGTCTGTTGGAGATGTTGTTGCTACACTAACTAGCCACGAAAATGAACAGAAGTTATTACCATCGTTCGCTCCTATGGCTGGTGTTATCTCCAATGGAATGCAAAAGCGTCTATCCTCGGCTGGAATAAGTTATCAAACTATTGTAGACACTTATAGGTCTCAAGGGGTTGAACAAGTAAGCAGTTTATTGCAAGGTGTCGTCAATGGAAAGCCGACGATCATTAAAACGAATAAAATTCTTACAGAAATTTTGAATTTCTTGGAAAATCAAGCCAAATGAATGTAAAACAAAATGTGATAAAAGTTTGCCAAATGTTTTATGTAAAGTATATTATTTATTGTGCATTACTTTTTAGTTGTAAAAGAAAAACAAAACAATTTTAAATAAGATTAAAGGCCGTAAAAGTAAAAAGTTTTGTATATTTGAGATATATTATTAAATAAGTATTGTGCATTATTGCTTATAAGTATGTATGAATAAAAAATATAAATTATATTTACATGTGCATTTTTAAATTTTTTTAATACTATTGTAAAAAATGGGTTAATAATTTCGTATACTCTAATAAAAATTTCGATTATCATGCAAAACGCACGTTTATGAGCCACAGTGAGCATAGTATAGCTATAGCGCATTATGCGACGTTGCCACATTTCGCTCGATGATATTGTAAGTTTTGAATAACCTATAAAAGTTTCATTTTTAATTAATAGTTTTTCGCTGAAATGACTGATAACAGGTTATTTTTCAAACAGAAACATAATGTACATTGATTTTTCTTTCTACTACTATATTTTTCTTTTCAAACTGTGCATTTTTTGGTAGATTCTTTTCGGTCTGAAGTCCGCCGTGAACGTCCCTCCCATAAGAGCACGTGTATAACAGCTCAACTTTAAGAACGATTTTTATCTGAATTTCCCTGATAAAAAATATTAAAAAAATTCACAGACATTTATGACGATCCCATGTAAGACATTTATCAATTTCGTCTAATTCTGTGCATTTTTGTTTTCCTCCCCATCCTCCTTAAGGTACATGGAAAATCTCTATGATCAAATATTGAACGGTAATTATTAAATAAACAATTGGGCTTTTTGTGTTAATAACTTTTTATCTAATTAACATGTATTAACATGCGACACATGCTTTTGTAGGTCTTGCCGGGACGAATAAAAAAAACATTAGACCATTTTTCAATTCAACTGCTAGTAAAAAAGATATTACGCAAAAACATGAAAATAGATCAATTTTTGTTTTTTTAAATGGCTGGTTAACAATGTTCTGCACCGATTTCAGACTTTGGATGATGATATGTTATTACACTCATTGTCACAGTAAAAATTTCGTGCTTTCCGGAAAAAAGTACGCGAAAAATGCTCTATTGCCTGGACTATATAAGTATGTCATGCATAGCAGTGTGCATATAGGTATGTATATAATGCGCAATGTTGTAAAGTTTCAACTCAACGTCGATAATCAAGGTAACTGCTATAAAAATTTTAAGACAGGGAAATTTTAAGACAAGAACCCTGGGGGCTGCAAACCCTCAAATCATGACTGGTTTATCCCCCCTCCTCCAAATGTTAACTCATAAGAACTCCGAATCACAAGTATACAACATTAAATATCATAATACCTTTCATGGCCTATTTTCCATAACCATCGACTTAGATGACTTACACTGCTATAACTTTAAAACTAGCGTAGATATGTTTCCTTATCTCAGGCCCAATGATAATACCCTTCTTTAGTTTTCCATCACTTATTTGAGGAAATGAAATTTTGACGTAGTCGAAACATTTTCCTTCAATATTCAGAGCTTTAACAAATTGTTTCATTAAACCGAGCTTAAATTAAAGAGTGATAGAAATAAAATGTTCTTTTAACAAGGCTTTCATAAGCTACATTATGTACTTTAATTTTCCACTCTCTTCTCTCTGGTCATTTTGTTGTTACCAAGTATTTATCTCTTGCCCGGCTGTTCTAAAGACACAGCAAGCAAGGATATTTTGTGTTTCCTGATTGTAAGCCTAGCATTAGGTTTATTATCTTAAAGTCACTACAAATAAGCCATTTATGTGTGTTGTGTTGTACCTTTTCAAGAAAAAATCGGATATCAACATAAAATTTTTTCATTATAGTTGAATAACCTACAGGAAGAGTTGCGTATTTGTTGCTATTATGTAACAAGACTGCTATAAGGCTATTTGTAGAAGAGTCTATGAAAAGACGACAGTCTTGTGACTTATCTATTTTATATTAATCAAGAAGACTTTTTTATTATCGTTACAGTAGACAAGCCCCATTTCCATCCAAAAAAACGAAACAAACTTTTGTTAAGTTCTAGAATTAATGTTAATAATGGTAATAGAAACGCTACTAAGAAAATGTTTCAAAACGTTTTTTATATGTTTTGTAACGAGTGTCGCTCGTTAAAAGTAGAGCCTAAGCGCTCCCATCGCGTAGGGCAACTCAAAAGTCGGCCCGCGAGAATAAAGTAGAGAAGGGGAAGCGGAAAGCGCTCATGAAACGAACGAACGGAAGAAAGTGGGAGAGAGGAGAGAGATTAGGGCATCGGTCAGCGCGTGTTAAACGCGCGTGACATGGGACAATAGGAAAAAGGGAAAGGGAAATGAGAGCGATTAGGCCGCAGGCCGGCGTGTGCGAGGCGTGAAGAGAGGAGAGGAGCGCGTAGCGGCATTCGAGTCCGGCCCTGCGGATAGAAAAGCACGTATGATAAGCGACCGTAGAAAGAGATTGAAGAACTCCTCGACCGACATCGTGCAGAGGTCCGATAGTCCCAAGGGAGCAGAGAATCGCAGCTGAGGAAAAGGTCGTCCACTGCCCATTACAGCCAGTTGCCCAGAGCGATCTGAGACAACAGTCGAGGATCGCGGGCAACTGTGAATCCGGGTAGGGAAAACCTCAGCTGAGGAGAGTGCTGCAAGGAAGGGCCAGAAGTCGACGAGACCCGTAGACACCGTCGAGAACGCCGTTGTCTGCAGCAACTCGTTCCCGTGACGTAAATCCCCGATATTGGATGTAAATGTGCGTGGCGGAATAGCGAAATTAGATAGTGCGCGTCTTTCTCTCTCTCATCGCGAAGGCGACATACCCAGCGAAATCTCTCGGCCACAGCTTTACCTTTGTATAATCGAACGCGGCAAAGAGGAATAAATTTGTAGATCTTGCGACAATTGGCTGAGATTTTTTTCGAATCCCCTTTGGTTTTCCTCTCCTATCGCGCACAACAGAACCTGCCCGACCTTGAGTCACTGGGCAACCCGGATCGCCGCACGTGTACTCCACGTGTGGATTTTCACGGGCTCTGGGGCTAAAGGTCAGAAGGTTGAGGCTGTCAGAACGAGCTGATCGAGGCGGCGGTTAGCCTTGCAACGTAAGGAATATCCTTTTCTTTAACGGGTAAGATTTTTATTTCCGCCCCGAATAAAACTTCCCGTTACAGTTTTATAAACGCCTGTAAATTAGATTTCATCATTGGATATAAAAATATCTGCGGATATATTTCACGTTTAATAAACGTTTTAAGAAACTTTTTTCACCAAAAATTTTAAACGTTAAATGATTCAACAAAAAACATTTTTTTATCGTTTATTAAAAGTTTTGTGCTATTAGGGAATATTCTGTACAAACTTTGTAATTTATTTCCAGTGGAATTAGCGAGATGCACGATCTTAACCAAGCTTATTTTGTTTATTAGAACCTGAATTTTATGATGAATTGAGTATTTCTTCAAATAAAATTTTTCATGTTCTTTTTACTATTTATCAATAAATTATACAAATTCATTTGTAACCAAATTCGAAAAAATTACTTTGTAGGCGCGAATAAATAATTATATTGAAAAAATTCTTGATTCATCTAAAAGTATAAATTTTAACTTACTTTAGCAGCAGCATTAATTCCAGCAATAATACCTTGAGCAGCTGCTTCTTCATAACCTGTGGTGCCATTTATTTGTCCAGCAAGAAAAAGATTCGCTATTTTTTTAGTTTCTAATGTGGAAAATAATTGTCTTGGATCTATGTAATCATACTCAACTCCATATCCTGGCCTAACTATAATATAATATAATAAATTATTACTATTGTAGTGTTGCAGTACAAGTATACTATTTTTAATATTACCAATTTTAGCATTCTCCAAACCAGAAATACTTTTCACTAATTCTTCTTGTTTATCCGCTGGTAAAGTGCAAGACAACCCGGCAGGATAAATTATAGGAGAATCAAGACCCTCTGGTTCTAGCCAAATTTGATGTTGAAGTTGAGGATATTTGAGGATTTTACTCTCTATACTTGGACAATATCTAGGGCCTTTGATTTCTTCCATTACGTGCCTATTGCAGTAAAGATTTTCTCTGACGATTTTTGTGACACTATCGTTAGTATACGTTAAATAGCACGGCAATTGTTTTTCTGGCTGCAGCCATACAGAATCATTCATAAAAGAGAAAGGTTCAGGAACTTTATCTGGATCTTGTTGAATACATTTTAAAAAGTTTACCGTTGATTTTTCAAGGCGAGGAGGAGTGCCTAAAAAGAGTAATTATATGTTTTATTACAATAAATATATGTGTAGTATATAGAAATAAAAAACAGTTATACCAGTTTTCAATCTTCCTATAGAAAAACCTAATTGTTCAAGAGTATTGGCTAATCTTATACTGGGCTCATCATCCAAGCGTCCAGCTGGTTTTGTTTCAAGTCCAATATTTATTTGACCTTTTAAAAATGTTCCTGTTGTTATGACAACTGTGTTACTCTTTATTTTACTTCCATCTTCTGTAAACATAAGTAAATATTATAATTCATATTAACATAAGATTTCACAAGCTTTTATTTAATTAAATTCATTTAGACTAACTCAAAATAATTCCACAACATTTTTTATAATCTTCATCTAATAAAAGATCTTCAACTGATGCTTCCAAAATTTGTAGTCCACTAGTATTAAAAAGTTTAGTTTGGAGATTTTGTTTGTATAAATTTCTATCTATTTGTGCTCTTAAACCCCAAACTGCTGGGCCCTTTTTTTTATTCAATATTTTATAATGTATCCCTGACATGTCACATATTTTGCAACATACACCATCAAGAGCATCTACCTCTCTCATAAGATTTCCTTTTCCAATTCCTCCAAATGATGGATTACAAGACATTTCACCTTAAACATGACATTCAAATGTTATTTTAATTCATGAAATATTTTATGCATTTGGATGTATTATTTAAAATTTCGAATATTTACATATCTTACCAATTGTACTTTTTTTATGTGTAACCAGTAATACCTTAGCCCCCATTCGAGCAGCTGCAGCACTAGCTTCAGTTCCTGCATGACCACCTCCAATAACAATAACATCAAATGAAACTGTATTATTGTTTTTGTTTGATGGATTTGTTGCCAATTTTTTAATAGAATGTCTTAACAAATTTGAAGATTTCAACAAAAAAACTTTTGAATAGAGCATACTTTATTTCTGAAATAATATTTTTCAATGGATCATTCTTGAATATAAAAGTCTTTGCTTACAAGATGCCTGTATACAGTAGAATATTTCAATACACTTTGTATTTTAGGTAAAATCAATATTTTACATAAGTCTTCTTTGCTTGTAAATTTAGCACTCGGGTAATTTATATTTTTCAGAAATGAAATAACAAAAGTAAAACAATTATACTTTAGTTCATTGTAATTAGCAGTATGCCAGTTTGAATCATTGCATACAATAGATAACATTTCATCCCAAAATATTTGCCAAGAAATAGGTATCAATTGGATAGCAACACAATTTTTCCACATATGATTATCACACTTCACTAGACCACTTTTATCATATTCAATAACATCACTTCGAGAATTTGTAACTCCAATATGCAAATCATCATTTATACTATAATCGCAAAGAAAACATCCCTCTGTTGGTTTTATAACAAGGCAACAACAGCTTTGATTATCTACGACATTTGTTAAAGGATATGGAATAATGACTGGGTCTAGTGGTAATGCTGATAAATTATTCTTACATATAGGACACTCTTGTGGAATTTTTTTACAAAATATAGAAGCAGAAGTACAATGTTTAAAACAAATTATACTGTCATTGTGTTGATGCAGTGACATTTATTTGTTAAAAGACTTACAACGTATAATTATGAAAAGATAATTTATAGTTTGGTAATGAAATATGAAGTCTTAACTAATAACATATAAGAAGTTTCTAATGCTTAATTATTACTGACCAATTTACTACATAATTAGTCGGATAAAAAAAACAAATTTTATAAAGATAAAAGTATATATGAATTAAATTACCAAAACATAAAAATTTTTTTTTGCAATTACATTTATATAATGATTTGAAACTACGATTTCACCCATATAACACTGTGGCGGGATTCTGACGTCAGAATGCGGATGCACCGTGACGTCACGTGTCCGAGCATTCTGACGGCAGAATGCAAGCACGCCGTGCTTTTCCACGGCGTGCCATTAGGCCCCAGTCCCATAGCTACGTACGGATGCGGACGGATACGGACGCGAATCGCAACTCTAGTAACATCATTAAAAATATCTAGTTCGATTATTTAGTACCAACACTACCGGTAGTGAGCAAAAGTGACTGTTGTTTAAAACTGTAGCGCCGAACGTACCACATTTAATGTAACGCCTATCTAACCTTTACATTGTTGCAGTCTATAAGATGGCAAATGATAGAGAATTGATAGACTTTCAACTACAATTAGTGGAAGTAGGCCTTAATTTTATGAAAGCTTTTTTTACATTAGCATACTCATCAATATGCAATATTCATGAGAATTTGAAAAGTAATTTGTAGACCTGACATTTGAACATTAAATGTGGTACGTTCGGCGCTACAGTTTTAAACAACAGTTACTTTTGCTCACTACCGGTAGTGTTGGTACTAAATAATCGAACTAGATATTTTTAGTGATGTTACTAGAGTTGCGATTCACGTCCGTATCCGTCCGCATTCATACGTAGCTATGGGACCGGGGTCTAGGCGCCGGTAGTGAGCAAAATAGTCACTTTTGCTCACTACCGTTAGTGTTGGTACTAAATAATCGAACTAGATATTTTTAGTGATGTTACTAGAATTGCGATTCGCGTCCGTATCCGTCCGCATCTGTACGTATACCTATGAGACCGTGGCCTTATGCCTGCATTGTGGCCGTATGAAAGAAACGATTGTTTTTCACGGCGTGCGAAAATTATGCCGGCATTGTGTCTTCCAATCAAGCCGCACGCTGTGCACGCAATGCAGTCAGAATGACTTCATTTTTATTTTACATTTTAGAGGTTATAGGTTCAATAAATAATAAAATTATTGTTTGGAGGAAAATTTATTAATTAAAAATCTACATTATATACATAAATTATACATAAACTTACTAATATAAATTACATTCATATTAATTAAACAATTACATACGCGTCCTCTTCGATCCATTTTCTTCACAGCATTAGGAAGTTTTTATGCCAATCATGAAATATAGTTTAGAAAGTTATTAATTTATAAGAAATGGCAGCAATCTATACTAAAATAAAATAAATAAAAATACCTTTGATAACTGCCGCAGTATATTTGAAGGAAGAGGATGGGTCTTCCCAATTCTCTTCCTTGAAACAATCCTTGTCTGACATGGGCCTCATGGTTAGGACTGTGAAGGTAGCCCCCTCGATGTAAGGGAAGTTGTTGAAATAATTTCACAACGGTATTAATTGTCCTAATTATCCCTGATATCGGTGATCATTTCCCATTTTCGATTCGTCAACGAAAAATGCGTGAAAATCACGATTTTCCTCGGTACATGAACAGGCTCGTTTACTCTAATAATTATTGATGAATTTTTGTGTTTGATAGTTCAAAATTAAGATTTTAATTTCCCTCGGCAGCCCCTGCTAAAACAAGGACATTCAACCGGATTGAAAATCCAATCCGCTTCGAGTCTATTTCTGAATCCTACAAATGACAATTTAAATTTATCAAACTGGAATCGATCTGAATCCCCTTTAATATTTTTCTGTCCTGAAATTAATTATTATAATATGTAAAATTAATTTCGTGATAAAAAAACATTAAAGTGAATTAAGATTCATTCTACTTTAATGAATTTCAATTGTCATTTGTAGGATTCAGAAATAGACTTAAAACGGATTGGATTTTCAATCCGGTTGAATGTCCTAGTTTTAGCAGGGGCCCCTCAAATCGCATTTCCTATTCGTTGCACAATTTTCAAATTAAAATTATTAATAATTTTCGTGTTGCGAGTGGCGGGAAAACGGTGTCAGTTCATATTTCAGCATTCCATTTCCAGCGAGGGCCGTATATCAAGCATTATAAGCAGTGGTGGATAAATTACACGATTCGGAGGTTTCTTACCATACATGTAAGAAACTGGTAGAAAATGTAGAAATGAGTAATTAATGTATATAACGTCGAAAACTCTAGTAACCCATTGCGCATGCTCAGTATGTCATTGCGCAGGCGCATCTGCTACACAATTTAATTCTAGAATCAATTAAAAAACAACACAAAGAATTGTTCAACTCTTCCATTTTTTCGCAAAGCACATACAAAGGAACATACTATTTCCAAAACTTCTACTCACCATCCCAACACAAAGCCTAGTTCAGAAAATTCGACTATCAAAGGAAATATATCACTACTATAAATAGATTAAGAAGCAATCACTACTCACTAGCTGCGAGTCTTTTTAGAAAAAAATTCGTTAAATCAGCATCACGTGACTGCGGACATAACTACCAAGATATAAATCACATAGTGTGGGACTGCGTTCATCACACATTCCAACGAAATATTTTTATTAAGAAATTAAAGACACACTGAAAAAAGGAAACTTCCGCATATAAAAACGATCGAAGAAATACTTAAAAATCCGACTGAAACACCAGCTACTCTACTAATAGAATTCATTAACAAATGTGCATTAACAATCTAATCAAACCGCTCACAAAACTAACTCAACATAACTTACTAATTCACAACACAATATCACCTACAATCACCGAACAATGTCCATATTATTCTGAATAATTATTCAGACTTTAAATTTTAACTTTTAATTTCATAACTTTAATTTAATTCTTAACTTCAAATTCCATAACTTTAGTTCACGCATGCGTCTTGACTTATCGGCGTCTCAGTCAGAGACCCACCACCATCTAGTAAAGTAAAGTAAAGTACACAATATAAATTTTAACACAACAAAACTAAAGTAACCCAAGTACTTCTTGGTTAAGTTCAGCATAATACCTGTAACGGGGTTACTTACCGTTTAATTATTTTTATTAAGACGATTGTTACGGCGTAACTCATACTAGTGGCGCTTGTTCAATCTTGACGATGAGTAGTTATGCACACATTAGATGGCGACATGTGGGGCTTCCGGCTATCTCGGCTATAAGCAAAGCACATGCATGCAACCGCCAAAAACTGACAGTCTACTTCCTGCTTGAGATCCGGGCACAACTAAGTTCGGCTTTCTAGTCTTATCTTAGAATCACGGTATCGCGAGTGAATACAAAGACGCAAATAAACGAATTGCGCACCCTATTTAACAAGTGAGTGTCAAGGTGAAGCCATCGAAGGCATAATTATAAAATCATAAATTTACCCCCCTGCCGATCGTTAAATAATTACAAAGTTCGTTGTTCCGCCATTTTAAATTGCACCACGTGCATACTAAACCAAAAGGGTAATCGAATAATTAAATGATTCTAGTGACGTAAATTATCTTAAACCTAAATAATATCAAACTATTTTACATTCATTATGTGAAATAGTACAAGCTTCTTGATAGCTTATTTATATTTTTCTTTCTTTGCGCTTGATTAAATCATCTTAAACCTAAATAACATTAAACTATTTTGCATTCATTATGTGAGATAGTACAAGCTTCTTGATAGCTTATTTATCTCTTTGCTTTCTTTGTGCTCATTGCACGTGTGGCCGGAAAATCTGCTCACTGCAGTACCGACACACTCTTTTTCACACGTAAGTTTGCATCCTGCAATACCGACCGTGTTCAAACAATTTTACCTTTCTTTTACTACTTCTTTTTATTAAGTAATAATTACCGTCTGCGTCCGATGGATAAATTGTTGTCTAGCGAGCGTCGAAAATAAAGGTGCGTGCGAGGGACTATTCACTTCTTTGAAATCATGTAACCCTATATTTCGAAATCGATTTGAAGTCACCCGATCGCCCCGGAAATCATGAAATCAATTTGAAATCATGCTTTGGAAAGCCCAGTTAAAAATCACGGTATGAAATCAATGAAATCAATGAAATCAAATGAAATCATTGAAATCTGTTACAATCCTTTTTTATTTTTATTTTTGTGAATTTCCACGAAATTCTGAAGATTATGTCTATAGTGCTCGAAGGTAGGTAAAATTTCAAAATACTAAAACGCTAAAGTAAAACGAACCCGGACGGCATGCATAACGTACGGATTGCAAATCACTAAAACACCGGCCGATCGCTGCAGCATTATATGTGTATGTGCTATGCCATCGCGTCTTCACTCGTACTTCTATACTCATAATATTTTTTCTGAGAAAAGGATATCGCCGAAGATCACGCAGTCGGCATGCTCGACGTGCACAGTCTTGTTTCGTTTGTTTCTTGTTGCCATCTCGTCTGATCTCGTGCGTTTTCTCAGTTTATTCGAAATAGTCGATCAGTGCACACGTAAGTAAATTCAATTTATAAAAGTTACGGAGGTATTAACTCAAGGACGTAATTGCAAGCTTCACCGTTTCTTGTTTATTGCCTTTCCTTAGGTATTCCATCGTCATGGCGAATTCCAAGGTAACATACAAATTCCTCTCGCCTTCGGCAACTGCAGGCGACGCTGAAAGTCAAAGTACTGATAGTGACATCAAGAAGGAACTTGCTGCAACGAACGCGAAACCGAGCGAACTAACGACAGAAAAGGAAAGATTTTGGGAAATTCTTGAAAAGGAAAAGAACATAAAGGTGCCAGTTTACATAAAAAACATCTTTAGAATAAATAATTTAGATAACCTAGTCGTGTTCGGGGGGCTAAATGACGATGCCTTGAAAGAAATTGAAATTTTTGTGAGAGACGGTATGGAATTGTTGTTAGAGCCAGATCAAGACAGCGAATCCTTTTACGGTGTATTTCATAAAGTACCAAAGAATTTTGTTTTCATAATGGGGGATAAAATAATATTGCAAAATTTAATCAAATTTGTTCAAAGCAAAACTGATGATTTTTGGAAAGAGAAAAATAGAGTAGATAACAGTAAAATAAATATTAATCAAATAAATACTTTGAGAAGCAAACTACCTGATTCGTCAATCAATGCACC